GCCAAATTTGAATGAAACTGACAGAGCACGTCCAAGATATTGCATAAAAAAACGAAAACAAGATGCCTGCCAGTCGACCATCTTTGATCCAATTGCAAAATAAATCGTCATGGACATGTATCCTAACATGTATAATCTATGTACCAAGTTTGAATGACAACTGACAAAGCATGTCCAAAATACAACATTTTCAAAAAACAAGATGGCTGCCAGTCGGCCATTTTGAATTGAATCGCTAAACCACTGCATGTGCATATGTCCCACATAAGGTACTAGACACATGCAAAGACTGAACGGAATCGGTCCACAGGATTCTGAAATATGACGTTGGATAAACTGACACACGGACAGACGGACACACAGACGGTCGGACAGACAAACTCAGGAACTCACGGACGGTCGGGGACATGTATCCTAACATGTATGATCTACATGTATGTACAAAATTTGAATGAAAACTGACAAAGCATGTCCAAAATACAACATTTTCAAAAAACAAGATGGCTGCCAGTCGGCCATTTTGAATCGAATCGCTAAACAACTGCATGTGCATATGTCCCACATAAAGTACTAGGCACATGCAAAGAATGAACAGAATCGGTCCAAGGGATTCTGAGATATGACTCCGGACGGACGCACGGAGACCGAATTATAAGTCCCCGTTTTCGGACTTCGTCCGAACGGGGACTAATAATCTGTAAAGAAATTTTCATGAAATTGAAAATAGCAATTCATCAAACAAAAACTGCAGATATTGTAACAAAATGAGCTGAAGCGAATCCACCACAAAAGCACCTACACAGCACCTAGCTGTCTGTCTACATAGTATTTGTAACAATGAAGTCTCTTTTACCACACGTGGATGGTGAACAATTCATGTATGTTTAATGTAAACTGATCCCTGGGCAATGAAAAGCAGAGTAATCTAGTGGAGATACTTACCTGACACAAGTGGAAGATATTTTCTAATAACATCCAGGAAGTGTTTACCAAATCTATTCATGCTGTACTCAGTAACCCCTGTAATTTGTAACATTTCATCCTCACTTTGTGGCATTATATCAACAAGTTCTTGTAGAGTTTCACCTAGTAGAAGAAAACACTATCAGACATAACACAGCTGTAACATTGCAGTATTTCTAAGACCATACTTCAATACTACCAACAGTTAAAAGGTAAAAATTCTATTCTCACGTGATTCAGCAGAATGTCCAAGAGTGTTAAATTTGTTTCAATTTCCTCAAAACATATTACATGTATGTGAATAAACAATTGAAAGAGCAAATAACAATTGTTGTGTAGTTGTGAACACTTGTCATTAAAAATGACTGTGTTCAGAGTTAGGCAGGATCTTTCACTCTCATGATACGGTATGTTTACTCACCTGATGTAAATATATGTGCATGATTGATAAAATTCTCTCTTCCTAATCGTCGACATGTATCCTGTAACTCTTTCAGTAGTTGTTCCTTTATATTTTTCTTGGTCGCAGCACACTGTACTACAGCACATTTCTTGGTTTTATTATTACCAGAACGGATCTTTAGTTTGATCTAAAAGACAAAATTTTACGATATTGCATCAGTGAATACCCATCACATGCACCATAGATACCCATCATGTTGCAGTGAATACCCATCACATGCACCATAGATACCCATCATGTTGCAGTGAATACCCATCACATGCACCATAGATACCATCATGTTGCAGTGAATACCCATCACATGCACCATAGTTACCCATCATGTTTCAGTGAATACCCATCACATGCAACAGTTACCATCACATACAGTGAATACCCATCACATGCACCAGTTACCATCACATACAGTGAATACCCATCACATGCATCAGTTACGCATTATGGTGTAGGAAATACCAATCACATGCACCAGTTACCCATTACATACGGTGAACACCCATCACATACAGTGAATACCCACCACATGCACCAGTTACCATTACATACAGTGAATACCCATCACATGCACCAGTTACCCATTACATATGGTGAATACCCATCACATGCACCAGTTACCCATTACATACAGTGAATATCCATCACATGCACCAGTTACCCATTACATACAGTGAATACCCATTACATACAGTGAATACCCATCACATGCACCAGTTACCCATTACATACAGTGAATACCCATCACATACAGTTAATACCCATCACATACAGTGAATACCAATCACATGCACCAGTTACCCATTACATATGGTGAATACCCATCACATACAGTGAATACCCATCACATGCACCAGTTACCATCACATACAGTGAATACCAATCACATGCACCAGTTACCCATTACATACGGTGAATACCCATCACATACAGTGAATACCCATCACATGCACCAGTTACCATCACATACAGTGAATACCCATCAAATGCACCAGTTACCCATTACATACGGTGAATACCCATCACATACAGTGAATACCCATCACATGCACCAGTTACCATCACATACAGTGAATACCCATCACATACACCAGTTACCCATTACATACTGTGAATACCCATCACATGCACCAGTTACCCTTTACATACAGTGAATACCAATCACATACAGTGAATACCATTACATACAGTGAATACCAATCACATACAGTGAATACCCATGCACATGCACCATCACAAACAGTGAATACCCATCACATGCAC